GGGTTCCTGACTGGAGAGCTTAACAAAGGATATTCCTTACTAAAACCCCCTTTCCCAAAGGAAGCAGTTGTTTGCTTGGAGAAATTCCTTGTGAGGTTTGAGGTTTTCCCTAACCTGCTCCTTTTTTTTTTTTTTATAACTATTATTATTTTCAGTGACAACTTCATAGTGAACATTCCCCAGTGAAGAATGTGTTCATTAATTACCCTGAGGAATGTGTCATTAGCTGCTGAGTTTCCTTCCTTTTTTTTTCTTCGGGAAAAAGTCCATGAAATTGGTAGAACTTCATTTTTTAAAGATGTAATGCAAACCAAGAAGGTTCAGTGAAGTGTTTGTGGCTGCAGTGATTTCCTTGCTGACTGTCTGTGTGTTCGTTCTCAGGCCATTCACAATTCCTCAGGTCTTGAGGCCTAAGGGACAGGAGGAGGGACAGGAGGAGGAGGAAGAGGATGAAGAGGAGGAGGAGGAGGAAGCTGAAAAGGAAAGAACAAAGGTGACCCTGATTTACCCTGTTTCTTCCCTGCAGGGTGATGTGGAGCAGATTTTGGAGTGACTCTTTCAGCAGCAGCGGAGGCTGAGCTGCTGGGCTGGGACACATCCCCCCGACAGCTCTGCTGCTTCCCGGGATAACCAGGCTGGAGCAGGGACATTTGCTGTGTGGGGAGCTTTGATCTGCTCTGTTCCAGAGCCAGGCAGTGCCAGCAGAGCACCCCGGGCGTCCCTGGGCTCTGTGTCATGGCTGTGCTGGCACAGGGGGCTGTGGGGAGGGGCCTCAGCCAGCGCCGGTGCCAGGGGGTGTTCAGAGCCCCTGGCACAATTCCTGCAGGGATAATGAACCGGGGACTAACTCTGCTCCCAGCAGAATCCCCTCCTGCTCTAGGATTTTGCAGGGTGCTGATGGGTTTCCTGACCTCTCCCCTCCCTTCTTTCCAGGACCACTTTGTGCAGGACCCCGCTGTCCTGCGGGAGAGGGCCGAGGCCAGGCGCCAGGCCTTCCTGGCGAGGAAGGGGTAAGCAGGGACCGGCCTCTGGGGGGTGGTTCCCTGGCTCTGCAGTTGGCAGGTGTTTTGCTGCTGACTGGAATGGCTGAGGGTGTTCCTGACATTCCTGTACATCAGGGTCACCACCACCGTGGTGTGAACTTCCTCACCCACCTTCTGCTTCACTGCTGGTGGTTCTATCCCATTGAATGGGTTGGCTTGTCGTGGAGTCGTGGAATGGTTTGACTGGGAAGGGACCTTAAAGCTCATCTCATTGCTCCAAGCCCCGTCCAGCCAGGCCTTGGACACTTCCAGGGATCCAGGGGCAGCCACAGCTTCTCTGGGCAACCTGTGCCAGGGCCTCCCCACCCTCCCAGCCAGGAATTCCTTCCCAATCTCCCATCTATTCCTGCCCTCTGGCAGTGGGAAGCCATTCCCCCTTGTCCTGTTGTTCCAGGCCCTTTATCACAAGCAGCAGAACCCTTTTCAAGGCAGGATCTTGGAAAGCACAGCTTCCAGAGCTCCAACAGCTCCTGCAGGGATTTGGGAGCAGTTTATGGGCTGTTTTCAGCTGATGGGCTCAGTGTGTCAAAGGACACAGTTGTGGTGTGGCTGATGCTGATCCTGGGCTGTTGTGGATCCCTGGGACGAGCCAAGGCCCAAGGGCTGAACTCCTCATCACCGGCTGTTTTGGGGGTGTGGGATTCTGTCCCCAGCTGTGCCGTGTGCTCGTTGTGATGTCCTTTCCTGCGTCCTGCAGGTACAAGCACGACAGCTCTGCCGTTGTTGGGAATGCCAAGGGCCACGGGCAGAACCGGGACACGGTGCAGGAGCGGAGGAAGAAGGAGGCAAACAAAAGCACCAGGGCCAACCACAACCGGCGGGCCATGGCCGACAGGAAACGCAGCAAGGGCATGATCCCCTCCTGAGGGACTCCTGGCCGGGGGTGGCACCGTCCCCAGCCTCCTGCTCGGGAGTTTGGCTCGGTATCCTCGGCATTCCCTGTGCTCAGGGGGCTGGATGTCCTGGTCCAACACCTGGCACTGCAGCTCGCGTGGAACGTTCCCTGTGGGAGCGCTGCCTGTTCCCGGGAAGGAGCAGGCCCTGAGTCTCCTCAGTTCACAGACACACACATGTGTGCTGGTGGCTGCACTCAATACACCAGACAGGCTGCACCAGCCACTCCTTCCCTTTTGTACTATTTATAATTTACAGAGTTTTATTTTCATACTGATCCCTGTGCCCTCCCCGCCACTCCCGGGAGCTCTGTGGCCTCCCTGGGACAGCCCCCAGCTCTCTGCTCCACTGAAATGCCTTATCCTGAACTGGAATCATAGAATATCCCAAGGAAGGGACCCACAAGGATCATCCAGTCTAGCTCCTGTCCCTGCACAGGACACCCCAACAACCCCACCCTGTCCCTCAGAGCGTTATCCTGGAGCTCTGGCAGCCTTGGGGCTGTGCCCGCTGCCCTGAGGAGTCTGGTCAGTGCCCAACCACCTTCTGGGGGAAGAACCTTTGCCTGATATCCAACCTAGCCCTCCCTGGCACGGCTCCATGCTGGCAGGGAACTGCTCAGGCTATTCCCACTGCCAACAGACCCACAGGAGCTGAGGGGAATAAGACCTTGCCATAGATTTCTGTCCCTTGAGTGAGGCCTGTGAAAACAGACCATGGCAAATAAATGATTGAGATGTTTCAGGTGGTGTTTTAGGCTCTCACAGACAGGATTGATCTGTAACTCAGAGGAACCTCCACAGGCCTCTCAGTGCTGGATCTACAGGTGGGGAAATTCTCTCCCTGCTCTGTGTTGGTTCAGTGTAATGAGATTTACCCACAGCCATGGAGACCAAAGATGCTGGAAAATGAGGATCTAATGCTAAGCAAGATGCCAGTGGTGTGGAAATCCAGGCTGAAGGCAGCAGGTTGGAGTCCCCAGGAGCTGCCTCCTCAGTAACCCCCTGTCCCACCCCATGAGGCAGAACTGCCCCCACCACCCTTTGCTGGGGCAAGGCTGGGAGCTGAGAGTGACTTGCTGAGGGGCTTCTCCTCAGGGCTGGATTTTGTCAGGGAGCTGTTCCCTGGGCAGGGAGACACAGAAATTACCAGGTGACCTGTGTGTGAGGTGCTCAGATGCCACAGCAGTGGCTGCAACTCTCCCTGGGCATCCCAGACTCAGCTGCCCACAGCTGGTGATAGAGTTGTTCCAGTTGTCATGGAGCGCTGGGATGTTTTGGAGTGCTGTCCTTATCATGGAGATGAACTTCCTGGCAACCAATTAGCCTTTGCTTTATTAATTGACTTGGTTAATCTGCCCTTAGTGGCATCTTCCCACCACCCTGTATTTTCTAGAACTGCAGAGGTGCCTGTGGCTGTCACCCCCCACGCTGAGAAAATGAGCAGGGGGTGATGATCCAGGGTAATCCCAGAGCTGCAGCAGGAGCAGGGTGGTAGTAAGGTGGTAGTAAGGTCTGTAGACATACCTTGGTGCCTGGTTTAATTCCGAGGGGGTTGGGGTGTGACTGGAGCTGCTATGGGGCTGTTGGCAGAGCAGCAGAAATGCAGCAGAACTGACACTGCCACAACAGGAGGTGAAGTCCTGAGTGCTCCAAGGAGATTTTTCTTTCAAACCTCCTGATGACAAGCAGAGGAAAAATGGAATTGTATTCACCACTGTCCCCAAATCCTGTGTGCAGGGCAATCCCCTGCTAGGGTAACTCTGCTCTCCTGCAGCTCCTGCTCTCTGGGCTCGTGGCTCAGCCCCTCCCTGCTGCCCACTGCAGTGCTGTCTCCCCCTCATCCTGTATTCAGCTTTGGTTCCCGCTGCTCAGAAGCTGCACCTCTCTCTGAGCTGCTCAGCGTGGAGCAGCAGCACTGCAGAGCCAGCTGGCACCACGGGCTGGGGCTGTCCCAGGAACGCTGAAACCTTCCCCTTCAACAGCACAGCTGGGACTGGCACAGCTGGGGTTGCGTTTTGCTCTAAAAACACGATGTTTTTTAAGTGTGTTTAGAGTAACTGTTTCCCCCCTGGTGCCCATTTGCAAAGCCAGTAAAGCTGCTGCCCCCAGCACTGGCTCTAACGGGCTCTGCCCCAGCCGTGGCTACAATTCCTTCTGATCGGGGAAAATGGAGGGAAGAGGGAGAGATGGGCTGGGGAAGGGGGAAGAGCAGGAATCACTGAGGCAGATCTGCCAAGAGAGCTGAGTGATTAACTGGATCGTTACCCCAAACAGTACCCAGATATCCCTTCCTGGGAATAAAAAGATGTTTGAAAGACTCAGAATCAGGGCTGGGCTCCTCAGTGAGGCTGCTGAGGAGGGAATGGCTCTGCCCAGGGCAGGGGGATGGAACTGGATCATCTTTAAGGTCCCTTCCCATCCCAACCATTCCATGACTCCCCTGATCGAGCTGCTGGGGGAAATGGACCAATTCCTCTCCCTGCCCAGCAGCTCTCCTTGGATCCCAGCGTGGGGGCAGGCTGGTGGTACCACACAGACCTACAGGACTTCTGCCCCTCGAGCCATCTGAAGAGCCAGAAGGCACAGAAATAATTAGGGAAGGGATCCACATCCCCTTTGAGGAGGTTTTGGACCATTTCCCCACCCCCCCATTTTCAGCCCAGCAATGCTGGGCACACTCAGCCTGCTCAGAGCTCAAGGGGCCAGTGCCGGGCAGATTTACCACTGTTAGGGCAGGGAGAGGGGCCAGGAACCTCCCCCAACCCTGTACAGGACCTACCAAAGATGATGTAAATGATTTTAAGCCCCTTCTCTGTGAACAGGCCAGAAGAAAGACAAGAGCTGCTCCTCCCTCTCCAGGTTCTCCTCAGGCAGAGGCCAACGGTTGTCACTAAACCACAGCTCTCTAAGTGCTTCCAAGCCTTTCCAACCATTTTTAGGAGGTTGTGATTCCTTCCAATGCCTTGGAACTAAGGAGTGGGGCTGCACTGAACCACTCTCCATCTCCTGGAGAAGGAGGAGCCCCAAGGAAGCCAAAGGATGGGTGAGGTGAACACACACACACGAGACAAGGACCAGAGTTTTATTTGAACATCGTGAGCCGAGAACAGCAGCAGCACCCCCAAGTCCATCCTGCCTCACATCAGCTCAGAGGGGGGCTGATACACTCTGGTTTGGAGTTGTTCCATCAGGAATCCATTCCCAGTTTCAGGAGGCAAAATCCTTCCCTGCTCCTTCCTGGCTCCTGCTGCTGAGCTGCTCAGTTCTCATACTTGTGCTTGATGTGTTTCCACAGTTTCTGGGTGCAAAACAAAGGCTTTTCAGAGGTGCTGGGATGACATTTCACCCTAAAATGCTATTTTAGAGTTTATGTTTTATAGTCATCCTGCCTGGGGAGGTGGTGAGGGAGCCCTGGACTGGATGTGAGGGTCACAGGGGGCTCCTGGCTTTTAGTCTGGACAGGGAGGAAGCTGCAGAACATCCCCTTCCCCCTGCTCTGGATTGGAGTATCCCAGTCACCCTGCCTTGAATTCCCACCCAGACCAGAGAGGGCAGTTCTGCTCCTGGAGGCATGGGAACAGAACAATCCTAGTCACAGAATCCTGGAATGGTTTGGGTTGGGACCTTAAAGCCCACCCAGTGCCACCCCCTGCCATGGGCAGGGACACCTTCCACTAGCCCAGGTTGCTCCAAGCCCTGTCCAGCCTGGCCTTGGACACTTCCAGGGATCCAGGGGCAGCCACAGCTTCTCTGGGAAACCTGGGCCAGGGCCTCCCCACCCTCACAGCCAGCAATTCCTTCCCAATCTCCCATCTCTCCCTGCCCTCTGGCAGTGGGAAGCCATTCCCTGTGTCCTGTTCCTCCATCCCTTGTCCCCAGTCCCTCTCCAGCTCTCCTGGAGCCCCTTTAGGCCCTACAAGGGGCTCTCAGCTCTCCCTGGATCCTTCTTTTCCCCAGGGGAACAGGAAGCCTCTGTTTGTCCCCTGCACGTGACCCTGTGCCCAGCAGTCGTTATCCCATCACAGCCGTGCTTGGGAACACAAGGACGACCTGATCCCTCTCACCGCAGCTCACCCCGGGACTCTGGTGCACATCCGGGCAGCGCCCACGCCCTCCCTGTGCCCGGGGCCGCTGGGCCGAGCCGGGGGCACGCAGAGCACAGAAGCAGCTCCTTCTCCTTCTCCCGCTCCCACCGCCTCCCACGGCCCTTCCAGCGGCTCCGCAGCCGGGGGAGCCCAAGGACAGCCCGAAGCCGCGACCACCGAGTGCCACGAGAGCCGTGGAGCCCCCCGGGCTGGGGCCACACCGCGGGGACAGCGGCTTAGGGACAGCTTGGGGACGGCCCGGGACAGTTTAGGAACGGCCCAGGGACACGTTAGGAACAGTTTAGGAACGGCCGGGGACAGCTTAGGAATGGCCCAGGGACACGTTAGGAACAGTTTAGGAACGGCCGGGGACAGTTTAGGAATGGCCCAGGGACACGTTAGGAACAGTTTAGGAACGGCCCGGGACAGTTTAGGAACGGCCCGAGGCCTGCCCCGGGCGGGGCGCACTGGGGCCGGCCTGACCTTCAGCGCGGGCCCGCGCGCCGGGGGCCTCTCCCGGCCTCTCCCCCCGCCTTACCCCCTCGTTGAGCTGCTCGAAGAGCGCGTCGGCGCCCTGGTCGAAGGCGCGCTCGAACAGGACGGCGCCCAGCACGACGGACAGCGCGAAGGTGGAGGTGCGGCGGAACAGCGCCCCGTACACCTGCCGCAGCAGCGCCATCTTGGCCGCGCGCACCGCGGCTGCGCGGGGGTTGATGAGGGGTGTAGGCGGTGCTGGGAGAGAGGGGCGCAGTGCTCTGCGTGCGCGCGGGGCATTGTGGGAGTTGTAGGCGGTGCCGTGTGAGCGCTGAGCGCGGGGGTGCGAGACGCGCGGGGCATTGTGGGAGTTGTAGGCAGTGCCGGGAGTGCAGGGCGGTGTGCTCGGGGCGCGCGCGGGGCGTTGTGGGAGATGTAGGCGGTGCGGCCCTGGCCCGGCTGGAGGTGCGTGAGCGGGGCCTTGGGGAGCGGGGCGGGGGACTCTGTGAGGGCTCTGCGTAAGCGGTCGCTGTGAGGGAGCCGTGTGAGGGGGCCCTGTGAGGGATCCAGGGATCCCTGTAAGGGCTCCGTGTAAGGGGTCGCGGTGAGGGGGCTGTGTGAGGGCTCTCTGTGAGGGATCCCTGTAATGGGTCCGTGACGGGTCCCTGTGAGGGCTCTCTCTCTGTGAGGGCCCCGTGAGGGGTCGCTGTGAGGGGGGTCCCGCTCGGCCCCGTCCCGCCCCCCTTCTCCTCAGCGGCCCCGCCGGGCAGCCCGAGGGTTTAGGTCCGGCTTTGTGCCTTGAAACCAGCCCGGCCACGGCTGTGGGGGGACCCAGACCGGGCTGGGGCCAGGGGGCTGAGGGGGCAGAGTCACCCCTGCCCTGCCGGGGTGCCCTCCAGGGGTGACAGGGACACGAAGGGGTTGTGGTCACTGCCCTCTGCTCACCCCTGGCAGAGGGGGGGCAGTTGGGGTGTTTTCTGGCAGTTTGGGGGTGTGGAGGGTGGCCGGTGACAGTGTGGGGTGAGAGGGAGAGTGGTGTGCACCTCATAAATCATGGAATTATGGGATGATTTGTGTGGGAAGGGACCTTAAAGCCCATCTCATTCCCACCCCCTGCCATGGGCAGGGACACCTCCCACTAGCCCAGGTTGCTCCAAGCCCCGTCCAACCTGACCTTGGACACTTCCAGGGATCCAGGGGCAGCCACAGCTGCTCTGTGCCAGAGGACCCTCAAGCTCCAGAGGCCTCGGGAACAGTGAGATGTGGCCCCATGTGGCAGAACAGAAGTGGGAACATTCCCTTTTGCCACCTTCTCCTCGTGTTTTTCTCTGTTTAACCTCAGTAAGGGCAGAGGGGTCCCAGGGTGGCTCCAGCACAGATGGGACAGGGAGGCAAATTTGGGGTTAGGAAAGCAGGACAGACACTGGGGACTCAGGAATCCTAAAATTGAAGCTGTTCCCCCTCAGGGTTGTTGTTAAATGAGCATCTACACGAAATTCCAGAGCAGACCCTCAAGTGACTCTGCTCTGTCGTTTTGTTTGTCTCACCCACTCAGAAATAGCACAAGGTCTGGCTGCAGAGTCACTTCTCCTGTTTTATTTATGTTTGGTTCTCTCATGCAGTGACTGTGGGGATCTGTGGGATTTTTTCTGGGTTAGGGAAAAGCCTCTGCTCGTGCTGGAAGCCTGGAATGTGCCTGACACATTCCTGTGCTCTGTGTGTGGTGTTATACCTTTGGAATTACAGAATATCCTGAGCTGGGAGGGACCCTAGAGGATCATCCAGTCCAACTCCTGGCCCTGCACAGACACCCAACAGTCCCACCCCGTCCCTCAGAGCATTGTCCAAACCCTCCTGGAGCTCTGGCAGCCTTGGGGCTGTGCCCACTGCCCTGGGGAGCCTGGGCAGTGCCCAAACAGCCTCTGGGGGAAGAAGCTTTGCCTGAGATCCAACCTGAGCCTGCCCTGACACAGCTCCAGCTGTTCCCTGGCTGCTGTCCCTGCTCACAGAGCAGAGGTTGGAAAAGCTCAGTTGTTATTTTTCAAATGTAACTGCTCAGGATTATCTCAGACAAATCTCCCCAACAGCCTGTGAGTTGCTGCCACCGGGCAGGTTTGTGTATGGTCAGACTGGTGTTGATCCCAAATCGAGCCCTGGATTTCCAGAGGAAGGTGTCCCTGCCCATGGAAGGGGGTGGAATGAGATGAGCTTTGAGGTGCCTTCCAACCCAACCCATTCCATGAAGATTCCACCTGGACAAGGGGGAATGGCTTCCCACTGCCAGAGGGCAGGGTTAGGTGGGATATTGGGAAGGAATTGTTCCCTGTGAGGTGGGGAAGGGCTGGGCTTGAATTCCCAGAGAAGCTGTGGCTGCCTCTGGATCCCTGGAAGTGTCCAAGGCCAGGTTGGACGGGGCTTGGAGCAGCTTGGGCTGGTGGGAGGTGTCCCTGCCCATGGCAGGGGGTGGGATGGGATGGGCTTTAAGGTCCCTTCCCACCCAAAGCATTCCATGATTCCATGATTTACTCCAGGTAAATGGAAAGCAGGACCTGTCCCTCTGTCACTGGAAGGTGCCAGCAGACTCTGCTGCCAGCCCAAGGCTCCCTGCAGATCTGAGCCCATTTAAATTGGCAGCTGAGTGTCATAAGCTTGACACTTGGGTTTAATTAACTTCACATCTGCCTGGATATCCAAAGTGGCTGGAATGGCCCCAGGCCTGGGCTGTGAGAAGGCAGGAAATTGAGGTCAGAGCCCAGCAGCAGCTCTTGGGGTTCCACCCAGGCCCAGACGAGTCCGTGTGTGCCCATTTCAGGGTCACCTTCCTCCCCCTGCCCGGTGAGACACCCCCCAAGAGTCCTGGATAAAATCTGTAGCTGGCACAGAGCAACGTGGAGTGTTTTGGCAGCAGCTGGAGAAGGGACAGTGTGGGATGGTGCACGGGAGATCTTGGTTGGAGTGGTCCCAAGCCCCTCACTGGCTGTGCCACACCTGGGAGGTGCCTCAGTGCTCCAGGAGGCACAGCAGAGGAGCTGTGTTACACTTTTATACAAGGCAAAGCCCCTGTGGGGTTTTTTGTGCTTGCATTTGTTCAGGGACTCTTTCCAGCTGGCCCAGAGCCTGTCTGGGAGTGTTTGTGGCTGTGGAGGGTCCGGGGGTCTCAGCTCCTCAATTCAGTTGCAAATCAGGGTCTGGAGATGTTGAGAGGAAGCAGCTACATTTACTTTATTTCATAATGGCCAAGATGGATTTAATTAGGAACTATCTCTGTTCACAGCTGAATAATGCTCTTTGTTTATGGCTGGAGCCGTTTGGGGAGATGGAAATAGGCTGGTGCTGCTCAGAAGCAGCTTTGATTCCTCTGGACCCGCCGAGCGCTGGTGCTGCAGAGAGTTGGCAGAATCCAGCCAGATTTCCATGCAGTGGAATCCTTAAAAAGATGGGAATAAGTGTTGGGTGTGATCACTGGAGGGGCAATCTCGGTGAGAATCCAACGCTCCTCTAATTGCTTTGCTCATTCCTTCGTCCCCTGCAATGGGAATTGCTTGGAGAGTTTGGGAGCAGGCAGCTGTGGGATCTGCCTGGAATCTGTAGGAGCTTTCTGCCTTGTTTTTTTTTTTTGGGGGGGGGGGGGGGGGGGGTGGGGGTTTTTTTTTTTTTTTGGGGGGGGGGGGAGGAGGGGAAGGAGCTTCTGCAATTATTGCTGTCGGGGTGATGAAAGGGAAAGTTTGAAACCTGATTTCAAAGGCTGGCTGCTGCTGGGCTTCCGCAGGCACAATTCCCTGGGAGAGCTCTGGAAACTTGTGTGGGACCACTGCGGAATCTCATTTGTTTTCCCTGTTTGCAGCATCTCTGCTTCTGCAGAGATGGAGTGCAGGAGCCAGAGCTGAGACAGGGAGCTTTTTATGTCACCAGGAACTTTGGGAGACTGTGGAATGAGATGTGAAAGAGGGATTTTTCGGTACTCAGAAGCAGAGCCTGCCAGTGGGCCAGACATTTTCCCTTTGGATTCCAGCAGCCCCACCACAGTGCAGCAAAGCTGGCTGGAAAACTCTGGGATGATCCAGTGAAGGATGAGGGAATTTATGGATCCCTGTTCATTTAACAGAACTTGGGTTTGGTTTCTTGGGCTGCAGCAGGACAGTTTCAGACCTTAAGCCCTACGGAGCTGTTACAAATTCCATGCAGGAGCCAGGTTTGTGGATCAAGTTTGACCACCTCCAACAAGGTATTTCACCTGGAGAATCATGGAGTGGTTTGGGTGGGTTGGGACCTTAAAGCTCATCCAGTGCCACCCCCTGCCATGGGCAGGGACACCTTCCACCAGCCCAGGTTGCTCCAAACCCCGTCCAGCCTGGCCTTGGACACTTCCAGGGATCCAGGGGCAGCCACAGCTTCTCTGGGCAACCTGGGCCAGGGCCTCCCCACCCTCACAGCCAACAATTCCTTCCCAATCTCCCATCTCTCCCTGCCCTCTGGCAGTGGGAAGCCATTCCCTGTGTCCTGTCCCTCCATCCCTTGTCCCCAGTCCCTCTCCAGCTCTCCTGGAGCCCCTTTAGGCCCTGCAAGGGGCTCTCAGCTCTCCCTGGAGCCTCCTCTTGTCCAGGTGAACCCCCCCAGCTCTCCCAGCCTGGCTCCAGAGCAGAGGGGCTCCAGCCCTGGCAGCATCTCCGGGGCCTCCTCTGGACTCTCTCCAGCAGCTCCACGTCCTCCCTGTGCTGTTCCCAGGGCTGGAGCAGCTCTGCAGGGGGGTCTCACCCGAGGGGGCAGAGGGGCAGAATCCCCCCTGCCCTGCTGCCCACGCTGGGGGATCAGCCCAGGGCACGGGGGGGTTCTGGGTGCTGGGGCAGGTCCAACCCCTCACCCACCAAGGAAAGGACCTTAAACCAACGAGGTTTCCAGTCCCGTTGGAGTCTCTGAGTGTTTCACCTTCAGTGTGGAGGTTTTCAAACCGACTCAAAACAATCAGAAAAGTATTCCATCAAATGCAGCTGGAGGCAGCTTCACTTGTGGTCTGAGGCCTCAGAGATTTCCAGCAATTTGCCTTTGAAGCAGCAGTTCTGGGGAGCAGGGAGTGTGGTGCCTGGGTGGATGGATGGATGGATGGATGGATGGATGGATGGATGGATGGCAGGAGGCTTGGCAGCCCTGCCTGAGCTCGGCACGCTGGACTCTGAGGGATTGCCTGGAGTTCTGCTCTTCCTGCAGAGCCTGAGGAATCATCTGGGAGGCTGTGATTGATTCTGGCCCTGTTTT